AGTGTAGTGAATAAGTCTTATGACATTTCTTGAATAATATCATTCAATGTCTAGCAAATATGCTAACATTAAAGTATGGGGTACATTCGATTAGCGATTTTTTTATCATGGTACACTGGTCTCAACATATGTTAGTACAACCCTGTTCTCGAGACATTCCTGAACAATTTCACCATGAAACTGTTTGCCACTAACTTTTCCTCAACATCTGAATAATGACAATTTATGAAAAGAGTAATTCTGACTGTTTTAGAAAGTTGTAATAAAAACATTTGTAACTCAATTGGTTTAAATTCAATAATTATTTATCATACCTGAAAGTATGGCCATAGGTTGGCAATCCTATAATTATTTTGCTGCGTTCCATTCCCGAATGGTTCCAATAATACGCAGAAAAATTAACATTCAGAGTAGAAAAGATAAATTTTTCGTTGTCAGATGCATATAAAGGACTATTTATTCCAGTGAAGGGCGTTTCTCTCGTGTAAAAGTGATAGTCGTAAGACATTAAATTGATAAAATCCACGAACCTGAAAAATATATCATGATAAAATGAAAATGCTTCACTTATATTTTTAGGAGTGAATAATTTTCAGGAAAGGTTTTGGTTTTCTACTTCTCCATCTTGATACAAAAAAATATGAGAATCTTACAAAGAATGGAAGGAAGTAATCAATTTCAAAAATTAATTCCACATGAAGATGTGTAGAAGAAGTTACTTTCAGGCATAAGCTGAAAGAAATAACCCTCTCGAGTTAGCTATTTTCATATAAATATTCGTAATGGAATCAAATCAGATATCACTTACAGGATTCCTACACAATATAATCAATGAAAGAAGTAAACTTTCACTTACATTTTTTGTATCAAGATGGAGAAGTAAAAATATATTAAGATGTTTCAAAAATTTTGTCCGTTTTTAATAGTCTACTTTAAACTGTAATTATCTCAGTGAATACTTATTCAGCTCAATTGAAATAAATTCCATTTGAATCAGCGCACTTTTCTCAACGTAACACAAGTCGACTAATTTCGGCAGCATAAAAGTGTGTGCTTGGGATTCGATGAAGTTGATGAAGGTCGTTTCTGACTAGTCCTCTTCAAATCAAATTATACTTTACTGTACGAAGATTTGCATCTTATTGACACAGTTCAATGAATGTAAATGTAAAAAAAGTTTTAAAAATGTATAGATAAAATACCACCATGTATAAAGTGAATATATTGAATAAATTGCTAATATATTGTTAAAAGGATTCGCTAAAATACTCTTCCAAACTATAATAGGGTCTATCAACAAGT